AGAGAGAGAGAGAGAGGGAGGGCGGGAAAAAATGTCCCAGATTTCCATGCCATTTAATAGGAAGCAAAACCAAACTGAGCTTATAATGTAGACTGGCTGAGCAGGGGGCAAAGTGACAGCATGAGTGTGTGTGTTGTGTGAGAGGGAAAGAGAGAGCAGAGGAGAGAGAGAGGGAGAGAGAGAGTGGGATATCTGTGTGTATATTTCTCTCTCTTTCTTTCTTTCTGCATGTGTGTATGTGTGCAGAGAACATATGTGGCACAGCCCACATGGAGGAGAACATGTAAGGAAAAAGCCTGGTTTTCCTGTGTGGACGAGCAGCCTGGAGAGTCTGATTGGACTCTTAAAAACTCTTTTTCTCTTTTCACGTTTTTCAAGTCGGATTTTCGTCTTTTGTTTTTAAAATAAGAGGAATATGCTTTATGTGGAGTTTTATCCAGAGGAATACTTCACTCCCCTCTGAGCTTTAATCACACACTCACACATAGTCCTCTGCTCCATGTAGCGCTTGTGTGGGCAAGGGGGCCTACCTGGATTACTCTGAGTGTACATGTTTGTGGGACGGACTCACAGAAGACGGGAGAGACTGAAAGAGAGGATAAAGTGAAGAAGAGCACAGCGGGAAGATGTACCTGTATAAAGCAACATGCCCAGACATCCCCAACCCGAAGCAGAAAGGGCCCAGGGGTCAGGGAGGAGGTCAGGGTGGGGTCCAGACCCAAGGCCCGGGGCAGGGGAGGCTCGCCAGGCAGACGTCCATGGGGACAGGGCCGCGAGCCTATGCCCCTTTGATCTGGACGGCAAACAAAGCCAACAGTGTGGTGGAGCTCAAACAGCTGGAGGAGTTTCTCAACTTCCACTCATTGTCGCTGCACGACACGGTCAAGAGCCAGACAGGCATGCTGTACAGGTAACCTCATATCTGTGAATGTTTGGACGCTCCGGGAGACTTTTATACCTGTACTCCAATTCTTATGTCTACAGGCTAATTTTTTGCCGTGGCAACCCTGAAGCATTATTGAGAGATGTTGCTGGTTGATGGATTTGTTGCTTTGGTCAGTTAAATGGTGGTTGGTTGTGGGGCTTGTAGTTATTTGGCCACTGTTTGTTTAAGAAAAACGTTTTGAACTCACGCCAAGACCAGAACTTTCACCCACTGAACCCACGTACTGCATCTTATGCAATGTCAACTCCATCATGGAGACTGTTGATCTTAATGTGAAACCCACCGGCTGACTGATCACTCTTTGAAGACATATATTTATGTCAGTGCGTGAGTTTTTCATGCTCTGTCACATGCTGGATTGAACCATTTTTGATTCAGGCCCGGGCACATATACACACACTATACATAATTAAAAATGTCAACTGCATGAAGCCCAAAACATTAATGTAAGACACACCTTCTCCTAACGTATGGACACCAGCTTGAATAGTTTGATTATAGTTTTGAAAAGTAAGCAGTAGGCTGTCTGTATGCATTATATTGGACAGTTTTTCCCTTGATAATTACTTAAACATATTGTATACTAATACTTATGCTGGTAGCTGTGTTTATGTTTGCTTCACAGTCATTTTAAAGTTGCACAACCAAAGCACTTCAAAATGGACATGTCTCTTAAAGTAATATGTCAGTAATAGAGGTTAATGCACCAGGCTTATGCATAATCAGAATGTATACGTATGTACATCAACGTATGGAAAAAATGGATTAAATCATGCTCCAAATGGCTCATGTTAAATGTGACATAGTTTTTGTTGTTGTTTTGAGGATAATCTATTTCATGAAAGGGGGTCCCTAAGATCCTGGTGGAGACCCACTGCCGCCATGTGTTTTTTTCTAGTTATCTAGTATCTGTGCCAAAGCATCATGTCGGTGAGTGGTTTGAGTGAGTGTGATTGGGACATTGTGGATCGCTGCTCAGCCCTCAGGCTAGAAAGCAGCATGTAGCTGCTTTGCCTCCACTGAGTTGTTCTTTCCAGCAGATATGAAAGGAGAAGAATAATCTCAAATAAAGTATTTGATTCTCCGATAGAGAATCTGTTGTTAGTGGTAGCTTGTTAATAATCTTTAACCTTTATTTAACCAGGAAAGAACATTAATTCTTTTTCACTGCTTCACATTCACATTCACTGCACTGCCTCTACAGCACCACGATAATAATGTCATATTAGGAAAGAAACTCATGAACTCAAAGATTATAAGGGAACTACAACCTGTTAATAACAAGCACTTTAATTTTTAATTTTACCATATGTAATGGAAATATTACAAATTACACTCCATAGTATTGTTTAGAAATTAGGTGTGACTGCATGTTTTATATTTGGAGAGGCTGCTGGATTAGTATTTCCATGAACTGTATTTTAGTCATTTGAACAGCCCGTTCATTCCTCAGCCTCTCTCATCGCTGATTCTGTGGCTATATTCTGCAAACATATTTGACTATATCGCAATCTGTATAATAATAACATGACCTAAACTTGACAGCATGGAGCGTGACTTTTCTATCACCTCCTCTGTGTCCACTAAAGAGGGGAGGGGACTGTGATGGCAGTTTGTATCCCTGGTGGGTCAACCTGGCTATGGGAGCTCATATGGCCATGTGCTGTTAGCGTTTCGCTTTGGGACCTTGGCATATGTGTATGTACGTAGCCATGTGGGCGTGTGAGTGCTTGAAAGTTTGTGGTCATTGCTATGGTAACCTAATAAAACAGCTGGCTGCTCACTTTCTTTTCCAGGTCAGTGTGTATCAGTGGTCAAGACCTGTGCTGGACACAGTCATTTATTTCAGTAACTCCTGGAAATCCTTTTCTCCTGCTCTAACTATAAAACAAAACAAAAACCAGCCACAACTTTACCCAAGCAAAAAGAAAATTTTTTATATGAAATGCTTTTATTAAACCCAAAGGAAGATATGCAAATCAGTGAAGTGCCCTCTTCGACCTTCCAATGAGTTTTGCTCTAAAAACCTTCTGGCTCTGCAGAGAGAGGTGATTTGAAAAGTCTGTGGAAGCATTTCCTAGCCTAACCTATTTGGCTTGTGACCCCTTAAAACAATGAAATGTCTACTTATGATGCCCCATCATAGGTTGCTAAGAGAGCTCCACCAAAGTGGAAAAAAGAGTGAATTTGTTTTTATCTTTTGAATATTTTACAGGGAAACTGTCCAGTATTTTACAACAAAAAAATTATTTGGAGGAAAGTCCTTTTGTATTATGTTAATCATCCTGTGACCCTTCTTCAGTCTACCCTAAAACTTAACTTAACTCTGGTATAGCCTAGGTATATTTTAAAATGGCCCTCCCATTATGAAGACCAACAAAACTGTCCTCACTTTTTCTTGCTGTTTTGATGCAATTTATTCCTTTGCAAAGACAGACATAACAGTACATAAACAGTATGTGACACTCACACGCATGGTTTGTAGTTTTTGTAAATCTTTGATTCATTCAAAGAGCATAGATGGGAATTGGAAGAAGAGACAAACTATGAGCAGAAATGAGCCTCAGCTTCACAGCCCTCACACGGCCTGCAGTTCATTATTCATGAGTGTGTGTCTCTGTGTTTGGGGCGTGGGTGTGTGTTTTCAGTGGTGAAGGAGCATCTGTGTGTGTGTGTGTTAGAGACAGTGCATGTTCATTGTATTGTTAATGTGCATCTTGACCATGTAGGCCTTAGTGACAATTAACTGTGTTAAATTCAGAACATATGCATTCCACATTTCCTCGGGGCTAATGTGGCGAATGTTAACGCTAATTATCTAGTCAGGGCCAGATACTGTCGCTATGTGACAATGTGAGTGAAGCAGAGATCAGCCACTTTGTTCCAGAAAGACTTGATTAGAAACAAGTTTTAGAATCTGACTTTGACAGGCAGCCAGTGCACATGTCGGTCCTGAACGCCTCACCGCTGAATGAGCATCCGGAGCAGGTTCACTCTGGTGTTTCTGTTGGTACTGTGATTCCCCTTCTTTGCTTTCTGCATTTTTCTCACATTGTATTAAAGAGGGTACAGCTGTTACAGTTTGTTGTTATTCAACGCCTCCACCATCTGCCATTTTTGAATCACTTCAATGTGAGGAAGTCTGCTTTGGTTGTGCCAGAAACCAACACAGTTTGCAGGAAATTACATAAAAGAAGCTGTATAGTTTTCTTGCAATGGCCACAGTTTTTATTGCTGTTTTTTACATTTGTAAAACGCTACATTATGCCAGTTGTTTCCTTTTGTGTTATTATGACGCTCAAAACATTCTTCGGTAGTAATGCTGTCTTTTGGTGATTTCTTTGGTGTTTCATATGAAGACAGGAAGGCAGTTTCATTTGAGGGAACTAAATTAATATTCATCTGAAAAATAACTATTGTGTTTATTCAACCTTTTACTGTAAAAAAACAAAACAAATCTAGTACATCCCCTTTTAACCTAAATGACAAAGTAGTTACAGAGGCAAATGCACTCTGCAGATTTTTGATCATGCACAGAATTAAAGCAGACATCAATTTTAATCAGACTAGTGGGGAAATAGATAATCAAAAGCCCATGATATTATTGGATACAGAGCTGGGAATATTTTGTAAGGGAGTGACTGTGAAGGGGCATTTGGACCTCCAGGGGGCAGAGGGTCACATTATGAAGCATATGCCATGTGCACATGGCTGTACCAGTGTGTGTGTGTGTGAGAGAGTGTGTGTGCAGACAGTCTGGATGTTTGTCAGTTCATCTGATTAAAGGAGCTCTGTCCGATGATGGACCGCGGTGTGAAGGTGACAGAGTTACAGTGTCCCCACAGTTGTTCCTCTACTCTTCTGTCACTCAGTTTTTTCTTCTTGCCTCTGTTCTTCACTATTCTACACTATATCTTCATCGTCTTTGACCCCTTTTGTCTCAGAGAGCTAGGTTTAAAGAAAATTGTTCTGTGGGATAGTTTCTGTACTCCACATGACTTTAAGGCAGGAAAAAAAAATCAGCTCAAATATAACAGGTCTGTGTTAGAACTTCAAATAGGAGGCAGCAACAGTGAATGTTTATTCACTACAGCCAGTCACAAGCCTGGACTGAAGCCTCGTTTTCACTAAAAGTGTTTAGACTCTGGCATCTGCCTATGTAAGGAGAAGCTATCCAGGCACACAACTTCACTTATTATGTTGCCTAACAGACAGGAATAGAAAGGAAGTTGTGTTCATGCTCAAATACAAGATAGGGACAGATTTGTCTCACTTTACATTGTAGTGTTTATGTGTGAGTGTACGTTTTTCTGTGTGCAATAGCTTGTGTGTCTGTCAGTCTGTATTCTTAATCAGAACCTAATGAAGCTGTAGTTTGTAATCGATCGACACTGGAGAAGCAGTGAGCAAAACTGTGCACTGAACCAATGATTCATCAAACATGCGTGTGCAAACACACACACACACACACACACAATCAGACACAGACATACACATAGGCATGCTGATAAATGCGTCAATTCCTCATCCTTTATTCATCTTGGAAAACAAGTGAATATTTAACATAGGAGCTGGTATCCTCACTAAATACTTAATTGGTCAGGCGGTCACAGAAACGTGTGTGAACTGTGTGTGTTTGTGTGTGTGTGGAAGCATGTCTGATTATATATACAGTATATAGCTCTACAAAATATCTTTAACTTTTCATGACGTCCATATTATTAATAGGAAATTCTTTACAGTGCAAGTGTGTGTATGTTGGTTTATTTTATTGCATAGGCTACCCATTAACTTCTAACATCAAGATCAACATTTGTATATCAGTACATATTGAAAGTGCGTTCATCACTATGATTAAATTGCTCAAGACAGTATAGATTTGTTCAGTTACCTCTGCTCTAAAGTGTTGCATGTGTAAATCTCTTTTGTGGCTAATTTCTACCTGCATTTAAATGTAGCAGGAT